TGGTGGATGTGTTTAGACGTCTATAGTCTATACACATCCGCCAACCCGTGACCGTCCTAGTTGGAATGAGCTCACCCTTCTCATTCTCAACCACGGTCATGCCCCCCTTCTTTGGAACGACATGCACGGGGGAGACCCACCTTGAGCTAGAGATGGGGAATATGATTCCCGCATTCAATAGCTTGGTGATCTCCTTCTTAACTACTTCTCCCATTTGGGGATGTAGTTTTCTTTGTCGTTCGATAGAAGGAAGGGCGCCTTCCTCAAGTGTTATATGGTGTTGGCACAAGGCGGGGCTTATACCTTTAAGATCATCAATTGTGTACCCCAAAGCACCTTGGTGCTTTCTCAAAACACCACATAACGCTTGAGCTTGGCTCACGCTCAAGGATGCACTAACTATCACGGGATAAGTGGAATGAGGGCCCAAGAACTCATACCTAAGGTGTGATGGTAGAGGTTTGAGCTCTACCATAGGCACACCATTACCTTCCTTTGATGTGGCCGCTTGCAAAGCCTCTTAGCTTGAGATTTTCAAGCACATTTGCTCATCCACTTCTTCCATGCTTCCATTAAGCAATTCTTCATAGAATGCCACTTCCTTGCATGGTGTACCTACTTTGTCCTTGTTCAACAAAACATTCTCAAGAGCATCGTTAGAGGTGAGCAAGTGCTCATGCATGGAAGACACAACATGATCAAGTGAATCAATCATCATTTAATTTTCTAGAGAAGAAGATGGATATTTCATGATTTCATTCAAATCAAATTCAATAACCTCATCTCCTACCTTAAGGGAAATCTTTGCACTCTCACATCAATCATAGCACCCGAGTTAGCAAGAAGGGGTCTACCTAAAATGATTGGAATAGTAGCATCTTCATCCATTTCAAGCACAATAAAATCCACCGGGAACACAAACTTCCCAACCCTCAATGGAACATCTTCTACCTTACCTTTTGGAAACTTGATTGACTTATCGGCTAATTGCAAGGTAATGTTAGAAGTTAAGAGTTCCCCTAGTTCAAGCCTTTGATAAACCGAATATGGAATTATGCTAAAACTAGCTCCCAAGTCACATAAGGCATTATCAATTTGCATCTTGTTAATGGCACAAGGGATGGAGAAGTTTCCGGGGTCTTTCAATTTGGGTGGCATTTTGTTCATGATGATAGCACTACAATTTTCAGTCAAATTGATAGTTTCCACAACCTCAGAAGTCCTTTTCCCACTCAAAATGTCCTTGAGGAATTTGGCATAATTTGGCATTTGGTTGATCACATCGGTAAAAGGTAGAGAAAGATGAAGTTGTTTTAGCATATCAATGAATCTCCCAAATTGCTCATCTAAATTGTGTCTCATGAATTTTTGTGGGTAAGGGAGCTTGGGTTTCACAATTTCTTTCTCTACTCTCACCTCTCTAGGTGTCTCAACCACAACCTCATCCAATGATGCCCTAACTCCCTCATTCTCCACAAGGCTTTCTTAGGAATCTCCTTATCCTCACCCTTTCTAGGCAATCTCTCCTCAAGAACCTTACCGCTCCTAGTAACAATAGCATTCACGTGTTTCTTGGGATCAAGACCTTGGGAAGGTAAAGAAGAAGGGCTTGCATGATCTTTCAAAGCATTAGCAAGTTGAGAAATTTGATTTTCAAGCATTTTATTGTGGGTCATCATTTCATTGAACTTCTTATCACTAACGGCCATGTATGTGTTCAACAACTTGGTTTGATTCTCAATTATTTCTTCCAAATTGGTCCTAGGTGAAGAAGGTTGGGAATAGGAATTTTCTCCTTGAGTCCTTGGAACAAATCCGGGTGGGGGACCTCTTTGAGCATTATTTTGAAAATTTCCCTTCCCTTGATTGTTCCAAGTACCCCTATTTTGATTTTGTCCATAACCTTGATTATGGTTACCACCACCTTGATTATGGTTACCACTACCTTGGTTGTGATTTCCATAACCTTGGTTTTGATTACCATAATTTTGGGGTTTGATTTTGGCCACTATAACCTTGATTATTATAGCTACCACGGAAACCTTGGTTCCCTTGGTTTCTATAACCACCACCTTGATTATAGTTGTCAAAATTGCCTTGGTTTTGGTAATTCCTATTCCATTGACCTCTTTGATTATCAAACCTTTGAGCATTATTATTTGACACATAATTCACATGCTCACTCTCATTGTTATCAAACTCATCAACACATTCATTAGGACAATTACTAGAGTCATGATCATAAGATCCACATGCATCACAAAACAAACAACCCATAGGCATATTATGTGAAGAGGGAAGGGGTTGAGAGTTAGAAGGAGTACCTCTCCCTTTAAATTGGGAGGGAAGATTCGTAGCTTGGGATGAAGTAGAAGTGCTCTCCAACTTGGCTTTGATTGCGGTCATCTCCTTTCCCAAGTTTGTCATTTGGGAGGAAAGGTTGTTGATCGCGTTTAGATGGTCTACCGAGTATAATGAAGATTGCTTGCTTGAAGAGTCTCTCTCCCCATCTTGCCAATCTCTATAGTACGTCACCACGTCCTCAATGATGTCCACCACTTCTTCTTCGGTCTTGTTCATGATAGGACCCCCGGCCCCCCCATCAAGGCATGACTTGCCTTGGGGACTTAAACCGCCATAGAAGATTTGAACCCTTGAATCAAGGCTCTTGCCTTCGCCGTCTTCTTTTGAGGGTAAAAACGGGACAAGAAGGCCTTTGTAACATCATCCCATGTTCTCAAGGAATTGGGCTTCACCTCTTTATCTAACCACTCTAAGGATCTTCCTATGAGAGAGAAGGGGAACAACTTGAGGCGTATGAATTCTTGAGAAACTCCGTTGACTTTGATGGTGTTGCAATATTTTTCAAATTCTTTAAGATGGTTCAACGGGCTCTCATTCTTAGCCCACTATATTGCCTCCTCTTAATTAAGGTGATCATGGCCGGCCGAATCTCGAAATCATTTGCCGGTGTTGTAGGCGGAGCTATGCCGCTCTCAAACCTATAAGCATCGGGTATTCCTAGCTCCTTCAAGGCCACTCTCGGATTTTCTCCCATGCCTTGCTCTTCTTCAATCTCTTCTTCACTTGAAGAACTATACCCCAAGGAGAATCGATTAGCTATTCTTCTTCTTGAGAGAGTCCTCTCAATTTCCGGGTCAAAAGGCACAATGGATCGATCACGAGCTCTATGCATGCAAAACTTCAAAGAAAATATTAGTAGCACGGCTACAAGTGTAGCCTAAAGAAACAAAATCTTTTTGTATATATTTTTTCAATTAAAATGAAGTAGACTCAACAACAAAAGCTAAGCACCAATAGCATTCCCCGGCAACGACGCCATTTTGACGAGGGGGAAAATGAATGTCGTTATCTACCCTTTCCCCAAGTCAAACAAAATTTGTAAACACCTAACCAACCTTATATGAATATAGGGCAAGTAAAGGGTCGACCCCTAGGGAATGCAATGATGAAAACTAGAGTCTAAGTCAAGCTACCTCGAAGATGGAGTTGATATTATGGTTGGCACTATGGTAAAATAAAGCAAGTCTAATCAAGTAAAACAAAGGTCTAAACACTAGGGATATGGGTTCCACATGCAAGTTCAATGATAATGCTAATTTAGAGCTCAATCAATTAATTAAAGTATTGCAATGGACAAACAATAGTAGCAATCAAGAGAGTTCAAATGCAGTCTCATATAGGCCAATCTAGGTGTCACTATGAAAGGCAAATCAAGAAGAATCACAAGCAAACCCAATCAATTAGAGCAACTTTCAATTCGATTGTTCATGTCATTAAGAGTTGCAATGCAATCTAGATTAATCTTATAGGTTGATCACTCCTAGTCTAATCAATCACATGCAAAACTATGTCAACTAATTTAATTGCAAGAAACCAATCAATCAAAGAGCATCAACTAGCAATTTCATTAATCAAACATGCTTCCCCCTTTCCCTAGCAACTAATATACTCACTAATCATGGTGAAATTCAATAACAAATAACTAGAAAGTGCTTTAATCTTCATTTCTATATCAAAATCTAAGAGAAATAAAAAAAATCAACAATATCAAATTCAAATCCAAAGAAGAACAAGTAACAAGCAAAAATCAAATAGCAAGTAAGTAAAAGATGAAAGAAGGAAGAGATTCTCACTAATATTGATGATTGAAAATGAAGAAATCCAAACTTGATTGATCAAATGTTGAGTTACAAATCCAAAACCAAGAACTTCTCTCTAACTTCTCTTTAGATTCTCTCTCTAAAACTAAGCTAATGAAAATTATCAAAAGTCCCCTTCAAAAAGGAAATACAATTCTATTTATAAGCAAAGAAGAAATTGGTAGCTCTCGCGTCCTCTCTCGATGGACCCGCGCCCGCGGAAAAATGGGTACGGAACCCTCCGCGGGCTATCTGGGCAGACCCCGCACCCGCGGCAACAGAGATCCTCGCCCGCGGCAGTGAAACCCGCGCCCGCGGCTTATCCCCTACTCCCAAAGCCTGATCAGGGGGCCGCGGTCTCTCTGAATGGAGCAGCCTCTCTATTTTACCCGCGCCCGCGAAGAGCCCGCGGGGCAACCGCGGTAAGTTCCTGCCAAGTTTTGGCAATTTTGAGTAACATGGGCCCGCGACAAGATGACCCGCGCCCGCGGCCTGCTGGATTTGTCTTGGAAACCTCTTCGAGGCCTCTCCAAGCCCTCTCTAAGCCCTCTCTAGCCAAATGCTTCTTCCTTGCTTGATCATTAAAGTCCCAAATTGAATTCTTTGCCAAAGTGATTCTCACAATACCTACACAAGTACACAAAGAAAGGAAATAAAAGGGAAAAAGAGACAAATAAAGGAAAACACGATAAAAACACGAGAATCATAAAGAAAAGAGGAAAAAGAGAAACTAAAGGAAAATGGACCAAAAATAAGAGAAGAAAGCATGAAAAGGGGAAAGAAATAACCCTAAAAGACTACCCTATGCGTGCCATAAATGACACTCATCAAAAGCCTATGCCCACCTCTATATGGGTTGAGAGTCCTTCGAAGGAACTATTGGAGATCAGGGTGGTGTATGAGTGGGCTCCTCCTTTTTGCTCTAAGTGTAACAAGATTGGTTATGATTTCTCTGTTAACACTCCTATGCCTAAGCAGGCTTCTAAGCTACCGGCTCCTGTTCCTCCTAAGCAAAAGAAAGTTTGGGTTCCTAAGCCTACCCATGTTCCTGCTTCTACTACTGCTGTTGATGTTGGTGTTTCTGTTCATGGACAATCTATTATTAATCCACAGGTTCATACCTTTCAGAATTCAGATGAGGGGTGGAGAATAGTAGGGAGGAAGACAAAAAGCCAACAAACTAGAGTTCATCAGCCTGCTTCTACCTCTAATGCCTTTGTTGCTTTATTTGCAAATGAAATGGATGGTGCAGGTGGTTTCACTATAAATCCAAGTGTGGGTGAGGTTGATCCCCCTTTGGTGTCATGATTTACTCTGTTTGGAATGTCAGGGGCCTGAATGACCCTGGCAAAGTTGCCTCTGTAAAGAGGTTGCTTCACTCTCATTCAGTTGATGTTGTTGGATTGCTTGAAACAAAAATCAAATTGAAAAATGTTCTCACTTATCAGAGGAAGTTTGGCTCTTCTTGGCTTTGGTTGTGTAATTATGACCATTCTCCCTAAGGGAGGATTTGGCTTGGTTGGAATGTGGATAAAGTAACTGTTAATGTCTTGAAGGTTCATGAATAGTTCATTCATTGTACTGTTTCTTCTAAGGATCTCTCTACTCAAATTTATCTCACTGTTGTTTATGGTCTTCACTCCATTCATGATAAGCTTCCTTTGTGGGAGGGGCTCAGAAGCATCTCTATTCAGCATTCTCCTTGGCTTTGTGTTGGTGACTATAACTCTGTTCTTCATACTTCAGATAGGCTTCATGGTGCTGATGTTACTGATTATGAGACTAGAGACTTTCAGAATTTGGTTGATGATTTGGACCTCACTGAGATCAAAAGCAAAGGGTCCTTTTACTCTTGGTCTAATAAGGCTCATACTATCCCTAGAACGCTCTCTAGACTTGATAAAGTCTTTGGTAATCAAGCTTGGTTAGCTTCTCATGGGCATGTGGAGATTGTTTATCTCCCTCCTTTATCTGATCATAGTCCAGTTCTGTTAAATATTTGCTCTGGCCCTGTGGGGAAAGGTAGACCTTTCCGATTTCTAAATTGTATTGTTGATCACCCTGATTTTCTTGATACTGTTTCGCAGGCCTGGGGTTCTGGTAGTTCTGTTTGGCAGAAGCTTAATTCTGTGAAGTCTAGTATCAAATCTCTTAATAGCAAGCAGTTTGGTAACATTGAGGAAAAGATTGACCAGGCTAATGCTGAGCTTTCTAGAATTCAAAACTTAATGGCCCAGAACCCTGATGATTTGGATTTATATGCTAAAGAATCTGATGCTATTAAGGTTGTCAAGCACTGGAATGATATTCAGGAAAGCATCTTCAAGCAAAAATCGAGGATTAATTGGGTTACGCTTGGAGATGGCAATTCTCACTATTCCTTCTATGTGATGAAGACTAGGCAAGCAAGGAATAGAATTGAATCCATCTTTGATTCTAATCAGGTGTTGCTCAAGGATCTAGATGCTATTTCTCATTAAATTATCTCTTTCTATAAGTCTCTTTTAGGGACTCGGGCTCCTTGGCTCCCTGCTGTTGACCTTGTTACTATGAGGAGGGGTAAGCAGCGTAGCTTTGCTGCTTAGAGCTACCTCATTAGGCCTATTTCTCATGTTGAAATTGATGTTGCCCTTAAGGGAATTGATAACACTAAAGCTCCTGGTATTGATGGCTTTAACTCCTTTTTCTTTAAGAGAGCTTGGCATATTGTGAAAGATGATATTTATGCAAGTGTTATTGATTTCTTTAATAACGGGACTTTTCCTAAGCAATGGAATTGCACAACTATCACTCTGGTTCCTAAAGTCCTTTTTGCTTCTCATGTTAAGGATTTTAGACCTATAGCCTGTTGTACTGTGGTCTATAAGCTCATTTCTAAGGTCATAACTGCTAAGCTTGCTGCTGTCATTGGTGAGGTGATTGATGATGCTCAAGCAGGGTTCATTCCTGGCAAGCACATTGGTGACAATATTCTTCTTGCAACTGAACTGATCAAAGGCTATGATCACAAATTTATCTCTCCCAGGTGTATGGTTAAGGTGGATTTGAAGAAAGCTTATGATTCAGTTGAGTGGGGATTCTTGATCACTCTCATGCAGGAGCTTGGTTTCCCTCAGAGATTTTTTGATTGGATCTGGAATTGTCTTACTTTTGTCTCTTACTCTATTCTTATTAATGGTTTTCCTGCCCCCCCCCCCCCCTTTGAAGCTAAGAAAGGGTTAAGACAAGGTGACCCTATTTCTCCCTTTCTCTTTGCTATTGGTATGTGATGTAAATCTAAATACCCCCTCCCGAATATGGGTTGATGGATTTAAAAATACTTATAGTTAGAATACTCAAATATCATGGAACAAGATAAAAGGGCCAAAACTCAAGGACACACTCAAAGTTTTGGGGTTTTAGGCCAGAGATAAGACTCACTCAATCTCTCCTAAGCTTATCACTCAAGACTCACTCAAAGCAATAAGGGAACACTTGAACTTGAGACAAACTCTAAGTTAAAATGCTATAAACACAAGGTTTTTATCAAATCTCAAAAACTGCCTTTTAATTTCTGTTTTGCTCTCCCTTTTATAGAGGAAAGGAGCAGCAAAAGCACACCAAAGGCCAAGGAAAATCGTCCAAGAATGAAAGGCCAACAGCCAATGGTTTCCTCCTTGATTTAAGCCTTGATTTAAGCTAAGTAATGAAAGCATAATAAAGCCTATTGATAACCCCCCCATTACAACCGGCCAAGAGCTAGATTCTTGGCATTATTTCAGCAACATTAACTAGCACATAAGTTAATAATAGATAGTAAATGGCCTAGGATCCACACGTCCAAAGTAGTCATGAAATGCGTCCAAAATGTGATGCTAGCCAACCGTGTACCAATCTTCAATCTTCCCATGAAATGCAACATAGAATTTCACCCTTCTTTGTGAATGGGAAAAACCCAAGAGTCTCTAAGACTAAAGCAACAGGTTCATTAGATGTCCACTTTGGATCATTTTTTCATGGGAAGATTGAAGATTGGTACACGGTTGGCTAGCATCACATTTTGGACGCATTTCATGACTATTTTGGACGTGTGGATCCTAGGCCATTTACTATCTATTATTAACTTATGTGCTAGTTAATGTTGCTGAAATAATGCCAAGAATCTATCTCTTTGCCGGTTGTAATGGGGGGTTATCAATAGGCTTTATTATGCTTTCATTACTTAGCTTAAATCAAGGCTTAAATCAAGGAGGAAACCATTGGCTGTTGGCCTTTCATTCTTGGACGGTTTTCCTTGGCCTTTGGTGTGCTTTTGCTGCTCCTTTCCTCTATAAAAGGGAGAGCAAAACAGAAATTAAAAGGCAGTTTTTGAGATTTGATAAAAACCTTGTGTTTATAGCATTTTAACTTAGAGTTTGTCTCAAGTTCAAGTGTTCCCTTATTGCTTTGAGTGAGTCTTGAGTGATAAGCTTAGGAGAGATTGAGTGAGTCTTATCTCTGGCCTAAAACCCCAAAACTTTGAGTGTGTCCTTGAGTTTTGGCCCTTTTATCTTGTTCCATGATATTTGAGTATTCTAACTATAAGTATTTTTAAATCCATCAACCCATATTCGGGAGGGGGTATTTAGATTTACATCAGTATGGAATACCTCTCCAGATGCCTTGATGAGCTTAGGTTATCTCCTGATTTTAACTTTCACCCTAGATGTGAAAAGTTAAACCTAACTCACATGATGTTTGCTGATGACTTATTGATGTTTTATAGAGCTGATAGTGTTTCTGTTAAGCTTCTCTTCCAAGCCTTCTCGAAATTCTCAGGTGCCTCTGGGCTTTCTGCTAATCTTGATAAAAGTGAAGTCTATTTTGGAGCGGTCTCTATTGATGTCCAGAAAGAGTTGAGAGAGCTTCTTAGTGTTTCTCAAGGTACCATTCCTTTTAGGTATCTTGGGGTCCCTCTCTCTTCCAAAAAGCTTACTATTGCTCAATGTAGGCCTTTGGTGGAGAAGGTCACTGCTAGAATACAAGGGTGGATGGCTAAACACTTGTCCTATGCTAGGAGGCTTCAATTGGTGAAGAGTGTGTTGTTTGGTATCCAGACTTATTGGGCTCAAATTTTTATTCTTCCGAAGAAAATTCTGAAAGAGATTGAGGCTAGGTTCAGGTGCTTTCTTTGGACTGGATCCTCTGCCCCTGTTAAGAAGTCTTTGGTTACTTGGAATAATGTCTGTCTTCCTAAAGTTTGTGGTGGCTGGAACTAGCTTTCTCTTCCTGAGTGGAATAAAGCAGCTGTCTGACGAGTGGAAAACTAGGTCGTTATCTAATCTCCCCTCGGTCAAACTAAATTTATAAACACTTAACAAACCTAAATACGAGTATAGAGGCAAGTCAAGGGTCGTACCCAAAGGAACGGTAATGTTCAAGCACTTTCAATTATGCTCCTAAGCTAGGTCGAAGACGAAGGTAAGAGAGAATACTAACAACTAACAAAACAAGTAACCAAGGAAATAAAACACTAGGAATGGGGATCAACAAGTAATCATGTCAATTGCAACAACTTGGGAAGATCATGCCAATCAAAGGTTGTGAGGACTAAATGATAAGAGCAATCAATAGGAATCAAAGAGTTATCTCCTAATTGTTAAGCTAGGGTTCACTATGAATAACAAACTAAGAGAATCACAATCAAAACCAATCGATAATTGCAATTCCTAAATCAATTGTTTGTGTCATTAGCAATTACAATGCAATCTAGCATAATTCTCAAGGCCAAATTGAATTACACACATGTAAACCTTCACTAATCACTTTAATCTCAACAATTAATCAACACAATTCCAAAATTAATCACAATTAATCAATCATACAAGTTTCACCCAATTCCTAGCCAACAACTAATCAAACAACATCATCAAATCAACTATCGACTATAGAGAACAAGAATCAACAAAATATCAAGAACAATTACTCTAATCAAACATCAAATATCAAAATCAAACCAAACAAACATCAAATTAAACAAAGCAATTGAACGAGATAGAGTTTAGAAATTCTCATTGATAATTAGGAAGATCTCCAACACAATTGTCACACTTGCATCTTCAATCTCTCAATCACCATTGAAATTCCTCACTTTGTCTCTCTAAAACTACTCCTAATCTAGCCTAATCTAGAGAGAGAAGCTCTCAACCTAAGAGAGAGAAAACTAAGACTAAAACTAAGCTAATGAAATATTATCCAAAAGTTGGTTTCAAAAAGGAATTACAATTCTATTTATAAGCAAAGAAGAAACCGGCAAATCCCGCGCCCCCTCCTGATGAACCCGCGGTCGCGGAGAAATGGGTATGGAACCCTCCGCGGGCTATCTGGGCAACACCCGCGCCCACGGCAGTATACACCCGCGCCCACGGCAGTATACACCCGCGCCCGCGGCCAAAGATGCCGCGCCCGCGGCTTATCCCCTGCTCCAAAAGCTCAATCTGGGGGTCGCGGTCTCTCTGAGACGAAGCGCTCTCTCCAAGTTTCCCGCGCCCGCAGAGAGCCCGCGGGGCAACCGCGGGAAGTTCCTGCTAAAATCTGGCCATTTGTGCTTCACTGACCCCGCGCCCGCGGCCTGCTGGCAATACCTTGGAGACCTCTCCGAGGCCTCTCCAAGGCCTCTCTAAGCCCTCTCTAGACAAATGCTTCTTCCTTGCTTGGTCATTAAGGTCCCAACTTGATTCCTTTGCAAAGGTGATTCTCCAAGTACCTACACAAGCAAAGAAAGAAAGGAAATAAAAGGGAAAAAGAGCCAAATAAAAGGAAAACACGAGAACCATAAAGAAAAGAGGAGAAAGAGAAACTCAAGGATAAAGGACCAAAAATAAGAGAAGAAAGCATGAAAAAGGGAAAGAAATAACCCTAAAAGACTACCCTATGAGTGCCATAAATGACACTCATCAAATTCCCCCAAGCTAGACTTTTGCTCGTCCCGAGCAAAACAAAGGCTAAAAAGGAAAAAGAAGGGCTTATTCGAAGCAAAAAGAAAAAGAGAGATGAGAATATACACTAACTCACTTTCGTAGGAATCACGGTCAATTTTAGCAACTAAAGACAAGCCATTTAAACCCCCAGATTGCCCTAGAGGACGAGTGATGCTCTTGTAAAGGTTTCCTAAGAGATTAACCCATAACTCTCGTAATAATACAAACAAGGAAAAGCAAAAAGAAGGAAATCAAAAGAAAAGAAGAGCAAACACATGTTCATGAAAGGACTTTTTAAAATGTACAAGCACAAATGAATGCAAATCTTTCTAAATAAGTAAGGGAGTGCACGCTCTAAAATACCTAAGGTTGATTGAAACATAAATATGCTAAGCATAGGAACTAGTTATCACACTCCACCATCCCAAACGGTCTTACCGCGTTCCCCCTACTAATCTCATATCTCCCCTTAGTGAGCGTCTCATAGATTCCACGAAGGAACCGGAAAAAGGTCAAATTTTTGGCTTACTCGACATCTTGACTTCGCATCCCCTTTTCTTAGGCTATAACCCATGATTCCCTCCACCGATGAATGACTCAACCCCTAGGTCAAAAAGTCTTCCCAAAGGTTGTAACGTAAGGCAAAAAGGGTTAAGGTAGGCTAAATTTAAAATTTAGTGGTTAACCTAAATTGTGAAGCAAAGATTGCGCATTTCTTTACACCATAACCAAGTAATCACCAAACAAAAATACCAACACCCCCAAGCTTATTCAAAGCTAAGATCACAAACATATACACAAAAAGCGTGAGAACGCTTCCCCCCAAGCTTAAATGGAGCATTGTCCTCAATGATCAAAAAGGAAGATTACTCACATAAAAATATTTTTTTGCATTTTTGCATTTTCCACTTTTTTTTTTCTTTTTTTCCATAATTCTTTATTAGTGCTTTGTCCTCGCCTCTTTTAACTTTGGACGGCTTTTTCAACTTTGCACTTGCTTTGTCCTCGCCTTTTTTTTACTTTGGAAGGCTTTTTTCATTTATTCACTTGCCATTATTCACAAAATATACACAAAAACACGATCTTGCTTTCATTTTTAACCAATAACCAAACTTATATACCACAATCTCCAAAATATGATCATTTGCTTCACAAAAATCCAAAGATGAAAACGAAAATGAAACAAAAGGCTCAAGATCTAAAGATGTGGCTTGGAAAGAAGGGAAAGAGGCTCAAAAGGTTAGCAAGTAGGAAAATGTAAACCCAAAAACCGAAGAAAATGAAAACTTTCCTAGAAAAGAAAAAGTACCACCCCGAAAAGATGCCTTTGT